AGTTCATCAAAATCCCTGATAACCAAAGTTGCCCCAGTTTCGGCCAGTAATACTTCAGGGTTCCTTAACGCTACACCTACAACGGGCATCCCGGCCGCCACCCCAGCTTTTATTCCAGAAACAGAATCCTGACCAGCACAAGGAAACACAATATCTCAAAACTTCCATCAAAGTCAAAATGTCACCTACAATACGTGGGTTGGGAGTGTTAATCAAGTTGAACTTGACGAGTTTAAGTATGTTGAGAGCGGATCCTTTGTGGCTGGCCGAGCATGAGCCACACGCCGCTTCAAAACATATTACGATGAACTTAAAAATATGATGAATTTTGGTTTATTTTCCCATTTGAACTAGCCTAGACAAACCAAGCAAGGCAACTCGAATCATTTAACAGCCACAATGTGTTTTTCTACAAAGCACATTAACAATGGGTAAGCCAAACCTCAAACACAAACGCATGCTTAGGAGACACTTTGAGTGCGTGTAGAGCCTTCAAGTAAGGATCAGGGAAAGGTTTTGCCCGGTCACATTCACTCCCAATGACAAGCACTTCGAAGAAACTTGCAAGGCCTAGCATTGAGATAATCAGCTCAGCATTTGGTCTTGGAGCATTGGTAACTGCAGCTCTTTTCAGGCCACAATCTTCTATCCATTTGCACAGCTTGTCAAGGCCATTTACAGGTTTTAACTTGGTAGAAGCCAACCTGTATAGATGATTAAATAGAAAATGCATGAGATTGTTCTCATAATTCAAACCATACATTGGATCTTAGATATTGGGTACTCTCAAAGTGGTACTTCCTACTCTCTAATGAAAAACAGCAAAAATCAACGCAGTTTATGCAAGAGCCACACAAGAAAAAATGTACTAGGGCTGCAACTTGGGCAGATGAGGCAGGTTTTGAGACCAATCCAGGCTCAACCCAAATTTTAAAACTCTCAAACAGAACTCAACCAGAACCCAAAATTCAATCCGAACCTGGTTATTCACACCCAATCCGAACCTGGTTATGATTCGGTTAGAACTCCAGTTACACACCTTGAGTTGAAAATGGTTTCGGGTTTGACTACCTATAACATAACTTGAATTCAAATCGGCTTGGGTTCTTTTACCCAAGCCCAAAACAATCTTTGAAAATTGCCCAAGTACTGTATATTTCGAGTTGACCTGAGAATGGTGAGTACCTGTAACAAAGGCTACAAATCATCATAGAAGTTAGTCATGAGACTCAAACCTGTTCAGCCTACTGTTCAGGTCCAAAAGCTTTGGACCCTTACGGAGTATGGGGCAAAACACAGGTATTGGGAACAACATGCCCCATAACACACACTACATTACATATTCATCACCCTGCATGACTAATGAAACTTATCTGGTTTGTGTTTACCTGCGAAACATTGCTTCCTTATCATCCATAAATTTCAGGGCTCTTTGGAGATCCCAGTATGGAAAGAGAACATTACAGAGTTCTTCATTATGCATACCACTAATATTCTCAATGAAGAATTCCTCACTTATTGGAACTCCTCCATTAAAACCTACCTGTGTGCACTTTCTATATTAGTTGGTCCCTTTTTATGGAGTGTGCACAAAATATGAGTAGCATGGCATGCGAATATATACAAATTGGAAAGAAAAGAACCAACCTCTTGAAGCATTTCACGGAAGGCGTAATAATGAAGAGGATCTGAATCACATAGTGTTCCATCAATATCAAATAGTATTGCTTCCAAAGGAGCAACAAAAGAGAGTGAACAATTGCTGCAGTGAGAAAATGAAAATCATGTTAGTGCAACAGCATGTAACTGCCTGCAACATATAGCTTCTCTGGTGCACAACCTTATGACATGGAATTTTCATACATTTGTTGAGTTCTTTGTTATGAAACTAACATTATGGTGACAGGCCACAATCAAACATGAGAGGCCATCGGGAACTGTTCACATCTACTGGAGAGGATAGGTTTGACTATCTAATCTATACTATTAAGTACCTAATCTCCCATGACTCTCTCATGTCTCTCTTTTATAACCGTCTCTCTCTCACACATTTGCTTCACCTTTCTCTCTCTCACTCATGATCAACACCGCACCAAAAAAGTTTCTCATATACATTGCACACACATTAAATTGCAGAGACTATGTCACATTGTCACTAGTAGAAGATTAATGCAGTGACCTAATACGTTAAATGAAATATTATAAAGAATGATTAGTTTTGCTGTGCATTGCAGCTGCTGCCAAGAGTACAATTAGGTTGTCAATTCTTCTTCCTCTGCCTTCCATTATTTCCGACCTATGAATCACATATACTTTGTTTTGTTAAGGTCGACATACTCGTATCAAATATCGTATCGAATATGATATTTATCAAATATATTCGAGAATACGAATCGAATATGCATCATACGTATTCGATAATTAATAAAATTGGTGGATACTTCACCGATTTCTAAATATGGTACAGGATGTACAATTTTTAATGGTAATCTATACCCGCAATTTTCGAGTTCACATACAATACAAAATATCAACTAAATTTCATCTGATTTTGAAGACACAAGTTTTTTTTAAATGTTATACTATTACATGTCAAAAGAGAATAAAAAAATGTGTTAGTTACACTAGAATTTTAAAAACAAATACTTCTAAACAAACCAACTAATTAAATATGATTCTGATTCTTTTAATTGATCACGCACATTTAATGAATATATCATGATGAGACGATATTACATCTTTTTTAAGTTAAAAATTTACTACTGTTAAAAAATTATTAAAAATTTTAAATTTTGAGTCATTAAATAAACGTAAAATCTTTATCTTATCCATATCAGTATCCGTATATGTGTTTCCCCGTTTCTAACTTGGATTTGGTATTTCATTAAAACTAATCTCTGATTCAAAATCCTAAAAATATCAATAGAGTCAGTAATAACATCACACTGCTTGGATTTCGCTTTCAATTATTGGAATTTAAGCATAAATTACGATGAACTTAAACTAACTGAACATCAACAAATCCTCATGTTTGTTAACTAAAATACAAAAAATGCACCAAAACGCACAAAAATACCAATCAACTTAACCATTTCCATGGTGGGTATGTGCAAGAACACCAATCATCTGGCTAATGATCATCCAAATAAGAATGGCTGTCCGTGAATCAAGATATTCCAAAGAAAAAGAACTAAGAACACAGAATCAAATAAAAAAGAAAGAAAGAGATTGAAATAAAGAATTACCTTTGTAGTGGGTGGGAATTTGATGAAATGGACATCTGGGTAGGCACAGAAGCGAAGATAGAGGAATTCTTTCTGCAAATTGGTGTAGTGTGGAGGTGGGTCTTGGTGACAAAGTCAGAGAATACACGAAAAGAAGCAAAAGCTGGCATATTCCCAAAGATGCTGCCCCTCCTAATGTCTTGGAGAGTCCGAAAATTACTAGAGGGAGAATGTGTGTGTGTGTGTATGGAATTTGAATGGTTCTCTTTGATTTGTTGTCGAGCAAACCCAACCACATACTACGATCCAAAAACTTCATGTTCCAGGAAGAAAGAACAAACACGAGCGCCACAGGGTTGATTTAAAAGATCAGAAGAGAAGTGGGAAAAAAAAAAGGAAAATTATATTTTGACTCTCTTAACTAAATTGTTAAAATATATTTTTACTCTTCAAAGTGTATATATATATATATATATATAGTGTCTATTTAATCTTTTAATTGTGTTTATTTGGTCTCTAAGATTTCTAATTTGTATCTACGTGATCGAATCCAAGATGTCCGTTAAAAAATTGTTGGTCATAAATGAATCACGTAGTTTTTAATTTTTTGTCTATTTGGTCCTAAAGCTTTTAATTTGTGTGTATTTGGTTCCATGTGATTGGCGCTTGACCAGAGGCGTTAATAATTTTTTGACAAACGTTTGAAATGAGACCACATAGATACAAATTAGAAACATTAGATACTAAATTGACACAATTAAAAAATTGGAGACCGAATAGACGATACATTCATACTTTGAGAACTAAAACTATATGTTATCCTAATTAAATTAACTCTCGGTCATAAGCTTACCTTCTTTTTTTTTTGTTATAGGACATTCAAACTTCCGTGGACTATTTTCTCGAGACATCGTAGCCTAAACGGGCTTAAAATGTCCCATGAGAAATAATAATAACTGACATTTAAGGGGAATGACGAACCATCTCTAAGGGTTCTCTTTCCCTGGGGATAAGAGTGAGATTAGGAAAATAGTACGTGAGATCCATTTTATACCTTGTTTGTTTAGCGAGGACAAGGTGAATCAAAATCATATTTTTCAAGTGCAAAATGAAATAGGTTGCTATTAAACTTATAACCAATATTAATTATTGAGATAATTTAAAATTAAAAATAATAGTTTAAGGTATAATAAAAAAAATGTAATAGTTGAAAGATAATGTGAGACAAAGGCCATAATTTATGAGTAAATTTTGGGAGTAACGGGGATCTCACGTCACTATTGTGATATAATATCAAAATCTAATAATAAAGCAAGGTGAACCCTACTTGATTGTTATTTTCATATATGAATAGGGTAATTACTAAATTAAGTAGGATCCACTTGCCTTTACGTTAATTTTTTATTAAACGGTATTATCATGCAACAATGATAACACATTATTACTGTTATATTCTATATTTTTTCATAATTTAGGAGGTCAAAAAATAATTTTTTTCACAAATATATTAGTTTGAAAGTAATACTTTTGTGGCTACACTATGGGAGAATAAGAATTTGTATAATCTATACCCAACCCATTTATACTCGTTTATAATTGGGTTAATATCGTGCCGTGTTCCTAACGTGTATGAACAATGTTTAATACACTGATTTTGTAGTTAATGTATCCCATGATTTTATGATATCATTCAATCGTTCTAACCACACATCATTTGGATCGACAAGTGCCTTATAAAAGTTCAGATATTTCGTAATTACCCGCAAACCACAATTGATAAGTTAAATCAAGGTATCATACAAATAGGAACTCGGAATTAAGACATACAAGTTTATGTTATGCCTTCTATTCGACTACTGAACTAACCTAATACGCAAACCAGACACAACCTTGCAGACCAATCTATAAACAGTTGATTCCATTAATAAAGTTTCCAGGAAAACTTTCTTCTTGTCTGTGCCTCAGAGTACTTGCTTTCTCAGTGATCCTAAATCATTTGTAACCACTTTAAACTTCGCCCGAGCTCAGCATGTGTACTCATTGATCTTCGGTTGTGGACATCTGCATAAAAAATTACAGGCTGATAACCTGCAGCCTGAACAGGGCTGCAAATACACAGTTCTGTGAATCAACTACCTCATATTAACGTGGGTTCTTAGAAAAACTGTGCGCACGAGTGCGCGTGTGTGTGCGTGCGTGTTTGCGTGTTTGTGTGTGAGAGAGAGAGAGAAAGAGAAAGAATATCATGATTACAATAATAAGGAATCAACAAAGCATTTCATGATTGCTATAATAAAACATTTTATGTATTCCCATCAAGATTCCCACCTAACTATACATGATATTAAGAGGCGGCAACCTCATCACTTAGAATTTAACCTCCTCGTTCAAAAAATAATTGTAACAAAATAAACTTTAACCTTCTAAAGTGAGCGCCAAAGAAAGGATCGGACACCATGCACATAGACTTGTAGACATAGGACAATGATATGCGGGCAACTTAAAGCTCCTGCACACGAGAGAGAGAGAGAGAGAGAGAGAGAGAGAGAGAGAGAGAGAGCCATGAGTATTTCAAAATACAAATGATAGAACTTTGCAATCCAGGACAATGGTTTCTATGTCAAATTCCAAACATATTATCAAATAAAAATTTGAAGTCAATAGAATATATACAACTCGCAATTTTATTAACAAAGTTTTATCTCAGATAAAACTGGGATGGTTCTTGGTTACAGGTGCAAGTTGACCATCTATGCAGCAGCCTGCAACATATACCATTTACGTGGCTCCAGACATCACAGATTGCACAATTCAAGGGCACCTCTTCTTTTTTTTTGTCAAGAAATTTCTTAAAAAAATTGCTTTTTCATTTTTAATTTTTTGTCAAAAACCAATCACAAGATGCAACACAACATTACTGCAGTAATGCCTGCCATTTACGCTCTTCTAATTTATAAAATTCTCCAACTACTTGACAACCAGGGGGAAAAAGGCTTCCACAGACTTGTCAAGAGAAATGGATGGGGCACACCAAGTAAAGCAAGTAATTGTAATGGGGAAGGAGGCATCGAAATTCCCAAATCACCTTTCTATTTTGGTGAACACAGAATTGCTTCTCATTTCAAAATGCATAGTTCATAACTGACAAATTACTCATTCTGATCAATGCAAGTTCTACAATTTCTCAATTCAACTAACAAGCATTGGTTCCACATGCGTATCCATTCTTGAATGTTTCCCAAATTTATCCATGAAGCTTTATATTAGTTTGCCAAGCCCAAGTTATTATCAGCAGCTAAGAATCATTCATTATTATGTTCACACTGGCAAAAAAGCAATTTTTCTTGAGGTAGATATCATTGCAATGTGGAGACACCGATTGACAGGATGCTGAAGCTGCTGACTTGAAACAAACTAGTTCTTCTTCAAAATGCAGTAAATTCACTTCATATATATCTAGTGCTTACAGGCATACATGATATTAACTAAGTAGGACCTGAGGTCCCTTGCAAATCCATACATCCGAGGTGCATGTTTAAGCATCTAAGTTTGTGTTAAAAGTATGGAAGAATCCTGCGGTTATCATCAAGATGATCCACACTTCATCCAAAAGCAGCATAGAAGACATTTTCCAGAATTTTCTTTCCGTGCAAACAAACCTAACTTAGATCGTTTTACTTTCTGTGAAGCATTACATTGCTCTACCTTGTCATTCGGGGAGGTGAAAACAGCTTTGACTGCTTCAAAAACTTCTCCAATAGGCTTCCCTGCATCAATCTGAGGGTGAAATAACATCAGAGTCCGTGATACAAAGGCAGGAGCACTGTAAAAAGAGAAAATAGATTATTACCTTCCGAACCTTCCCTTTAGAGTTGTAATACTCAATCACAGGGAGACTGGATTCCATATAAACCTTAAATCGCTTCCTTATCGTGTCAATGTTATCATCTTCTCTTCCCTTCATTGTCCCAAAGAGAGTGTCAAAGAAAATGAAAAAACAGGATAAAATAACTCCAAAACAGGAAACATTAAAAGAAACAGAAAGAGGTTAAGAAATCTCAGAGCAAAAAAAGGGTATTAATCTAACCTGGTTACGACTCAAAAGGCGCCTCTCCATCTCCTCTGCCGAACAATCAACAAACAGAACGAATTCTGGCTCAATACCAGTCTGTCAACCATTAAATTCTTAGCAATTAATGCAAGGAATCCTTGAATATTAATGGAAGTATCAGAACTGGCAATTACACACCAAAAAATTGTACTTGATTATACAAAGCCAGCAAAAGTCAGACTTCAAAAAGTATTGCATACAAAACTTACAACGGACTCAAATGCCGCACGATTTTCCTCATTACGAGGAAAACCATCAATTAGAAATTTGTCATTGTTGTTTTCCTGCATTGCTCGCTGGAGGAGCTTGATTGTTACCTCCGAAGGAACAATCTTTCCCTCCTTAATCATGTTCTGAATCATGGTCCTATAGATTATGAGAGAACCAAAAGTTTAGAAGCAAGGGCAAAAATAAGGAATTCAACAAAAGATCAGAACCCAAAACTTATTGGAACAAAATCTAAACTGGCATTCAATAGATAGATAAACATCCAGATTCTGTAAAGAATTAAACCTTTACATTCACATACAACACATGTAAGAGTAAATGCATCTGAGGCATTTAATATAGGATGCATACTAGATCAAATGGAAGACACTAAATATTGGATGTGAGGAATCAGTGGCCAAGCCTAAAGGAAAATACTATAAAGATGAGAGATCCTGGAGAAAACCCAGATCAATAAAAATTTCTGCTGGGAATGCTCTCAGATCTCTGCAGCCACCATGAAACCCCCTCTCAAAAGACTGAACCACTTACATAGACTTCCATTAAGTAGGTACTAGACCCAAGTTAGTGTTCACAAGGACATAGTCCTCTCACACCACGATTCAGAACTAATTTGCAATAAAGTTTTATAAGCAAAGGTATATTAAAAGGAAATGGAATCCTACAGGAGCTTGTTATGAAGACATGAATCTGTCTTGCATAGTAAACAAATTCAAGCATCACAAAGATATGCTAAGATCCCATTTATCTTTGTTTTGCTGAAGAATTACAGAATCAAAACAGTGAATAATCCATCCAACCACGATTTTAGCCTATAGCAATGATGTAAACCATTAGATGTTGACTCTCCACATTTCAGGCGTGCTAAATGTACAAGGATGGCAATCCAAGAGTTCATTTTATTTGCTGGCTAGCTTGAGTTGGATATTTTCAATAATGATGCTAGTCAAGGACAGCAAATCAGGATTTATCCTATACATTCCATTGCTGATTGTCCAGGACAAATGTTGAAGAAAATTAAATAGCCAGAAAATAAGGGATTGTACCCATTTTCAGAACCAGATTTTATTTCTGCTCGAAGAAGATCACCAGCACTTAGATGGGTGTAGCCAAAGTGCTCTACAATATTTGCACACTGGGTGCCCTTTCCACTACCAGGGCCACCTGTTCAATTTAAGGAGAACAAATTCAGAAGTAAAAAATGCCCTTCAAACTACACAAAAGATTCACAAGTAGACCCCCACAGGGAAACCAGAAACATAAGTTTACCAATTGGCTCAAAAGTAAGCA